TAGCTGAAGCTTCTCACATACTTCTTGTAGCATTCCAGATAATGTCTGCAGCATCTCAGTCCAAAGCTGTAGTATCCTAGGAAATGCTTGTAGCATGCTGGGGGATGCTTTTAGCATTCTAGGTGGTACTTGTAGCATCGCACGTGATGCTCGCAGCATCCTAGAGGATGCTTGTAGCGTTCTAGCTGATACTTGTAGCATCCTAGGGAATGCTTGTAGCATCATAGGAGGTGCTTGTAGTCTCGCAGACAATACCTGTCGATATCAGATGATTCTAGTGGCATTCCAGCCGTTAACTAATTGAGTACTTAAATACTTGAATAGTTGAATAGTTGAACTAATAGTTGAATACTTGGATTCAACTTTCAAGTTTGACACTACTGATAAATAGATCTAAGCTATCTTTCTTTTCGTGATGTTCGCGTATTTTACAGATAGCCTATATCTACTATATTCAGTTTGCTTCATCATATGAAGAAGAAACATAAATTTTCACTTGATGTTGTAGTGATTAAGTAGATACAATCAATGAATAATACATGTCGAATTCTCATACTGAAAAAGAACATAAAAATATATTTTACTATCAATATTTTTTTGCTGATGCACATTCAAAAATGTTTATCAAATCAGTAACAACACTGTTAGATAAGTAGATTAATAATTTATATGCAAGCAATGGAAAAGAAAAAATTTTTAAATGAAACGATGTATAAATAATTTGATTTCGACAGCAAAAAGAATCTAATAATTTTTAGTATTTTATATACTGGTTGTCCCATAAATAACGCAACGATAAGAAATTTAAATATCTCTATTGCAGCTCGAGGAAACAAACTGATGTTTTGATCATTGATAGATACATGTTCAAGTTTTATATTCATAAAGACATGCCTAGAAACGTTCTTTGTTAAATATATTGTTGTTTTTTTTCTATATGTGAAAAAGTAATTTTTTTTTGTTGAGATCAATAGTGATGCTTAACAAAGAGTCTCTCTAGGCATATCTATATGGATATAAACTTTGGACATGTGTCTATTAATGATCAAAAAATCAGCTCGTTTCCTCGAGCTCCAATAGAGATATTTAAGTTTCTTATCGCCGTGTTATTTATGGAATACCCTGTAGAAATGGTGGTAAAAATATTTGATCATTTTGACAGGACAATAGAATTGCAGTTTTTTTAAATGACAAGTAAAATAATTCTTTCACAAAGCTTTTTCTCAACATCATATTATACTTTTTATTTCTGTCAATTTTCATTTCTTATCTTTATGAACATACCAAGATGTTTCTAGTTCACTTGCTAATCAGTTAGCACATATATATATTTGGTTTCTTATTCTTTTTTTTTTAATATCTTGTTGTATTGTTTATAAGAATATTTTCTCTTCTTCTATGGCGCTATTACATCATGTTTGTCAGCATTTTTTCTTTTCCTTCTATATGGGTAGTTTTTTTTTCTTGCAATATAACGAGAGGTATAGGATTGAAAAGGGGAATATATATACTTTTTCTTTTTTTGAAATCGAAATAAAAGAAACGGTCAAATACTTTTTTTAAATGCTTATTTCAAATCTTTCATGGAAATTATTAGACAGATTTGTGTTACATTTCAGTTATCGAAGATATTTTATAGCCATTAGAAATACTCGAAAACTAAAGATAAGAAAAATCGATACATGAATTAATTATCCATTGCGTTTCACTAGGTACGATGTGACGAACTGACTAGTATCAATCAATCAGAAATCTGATTTGAAAATAGTATTAAAGTGAAAGTTAGCGAATATTTTTTATAGTGAATACTTAGAAAAACTCATTTGAAGATAAGATTTCCTTGAAAGGTACTAATTAACTTTAATTTCTTTTAGTACTTCCTGTTAATGAAATTGAATTTGCTTTATATTAACAGCTACGACGAATATACCATGAGAAAATGATTGAATGACAAGAATTAAGTAATGCTAATTATTAAAAGAAATATTGTATGATAATAAGAAAATTTCTTAGTTCTGTTCAAATGTTTATTTTTAATACATCAACAAAATTTTATTAAAAGAGATATCAAAATAACACGTAAAATATTCGAATTTAATGTTAGAACAGAAGAATATCAAAAATCTTTCAATAATCAATGAAGATCAACTCGATAAAATTAAAATAACATAAACAGAAAAATTCTCGATTCATATAGAATAGACAACTTAAGTTTTATCAATTAGAGATTTTAATTCAATTGATCGGAATACATTATTTGTCTCGTGAATTGACATACAAATTTTAGCTCCTAGGTACTAATAATGAAAATAATAAAATCTTTCTTATACCTATACCTACTTCTTACATTTTCATAAAAAATTTATTGAATTTGCTGAAAATTATCTAAATTCATATATCCAATTCAAGTTTCGATAATATAATGTAAAAGAAATTATTATCACTTAGTTTAAGACTTTCGTAACTTGATTATATTTTGGAAATCTTCAGGGAATGAAGCAGTGAAATGACATCATACTTTGTCGGACAAGAACGATGTCCACTAGATTAACGCATTAGATCATTTGAATTTCTTCAGATCATTATAAACTTAATACTTTTTGTATAAAGATCATCTTTTGCTGAGCCTTATCCTATATGAAAATGTTTGACTACAAGGCTTCGAATGAAATATTTCACAAAAAAAAGAGTCATTCCATGAGATTTCCTTTTTTTTCTCATAATAAGATGCAGGTTTTGTCTGATGAAATATCAACAAAGTCCATTAACGCTTATCAAAGATCGTATACATTCGTATTTTACCATATTACATGACTGAGTATGATGATTGTATATCTGCGTGACCATATACGGAGGATGTGAGTATGAGACTAGCAGTTTACCACCAGATTTTTGGTTTTTGAAAGTGTTATATCATGGTGTTTTGTATCAAAATACATGAATGTTCTTGAAGTCTGTTAAAATTGACAGAATTGAGTCATTTTCGATAAACTTTCATACTGTTGATGTGTCTGAATCGTCTTTACTAGTCACAGAGACCAAATCAATCCCAACTACGAGATAAACTTTTATTGTAGAGGTCGCTGCAAAAATTTTTATTAGTAAAATATATTTTCTGAAACCATTTTCTTCTCGGTTAATTTGAATTTAGGTAAAAAATGTTCTCTGCAATCGTTTATAACTGAAATCGAAAGTCGCAACTACTACCGCCGACTCTTATGAATATCACAGTATACGGACGGTAATGGGAACAAACGTGCAACCTCGATTAGAACTAAATACATGATAGATTTATTATGCATATTATTCTAAACGAAACATTCTATTATTTATTCATACAAGAGGCTCTTAAACGTTAATAGTTTTATAAAATTGTCAGCAAGGTTGTCAAAATTTTTGGCTAAACTTAAGTAAATAATGTAGTTTCTAAGTGTGCATATACAAAAAAAAAGTTATATAATCATTGATAAATAATTAAATATCAATATTTCTAAACTTATCGAAGTATATAATGGCACATTGAGACCTACTGTATATATAATGAATGTATATAACACGCTTATTTACCAGTTACATCAATGGTTAGAATAATAATATTGTTAAACTAAAAAAAAACAGAATACATAAAAGAAAAAAAAACAATTTAATTAGAATGTAAAAATAAATGAGGCAGATAAGTTCTTCAATTATCGATCATCCCTAGTCAATAACTATAGTCTATTAGGGGTTTTTCAATTACGTATTTCACATTAATTTAATGAAACTAAAGAACACTTGTGAGTTTCATGTTGCAATTCTAATGAGGTTGTATTGACGCTTTCTTTTTTTCTCTTCAAATGCATTTATGTATACAAAATAGCCGTAATACCTCGATTATTCTTATTATTTTTTTTTTATGAATAAAACAGAATGACAAAGCAATCAAAGTTCGTGTTACTTTTTTTTCCTATTTCTTCTCTTTCTTTGGTTTTCTTCATTAATATTTTTTTTAGTCTACGCTTGTTTATATATGATTTAGATATTCTCTTGGCTTTATTTGTGTAACTCGCTTACTTCCTTTTGAACCTATAGTCTTCATTGTAAATGATACTTCTCATAGATATGTCGTGTAGTGTAAGCAGTAGAAAAAAAAAACCTCAGCTAATGCATACTAATTCAATCATTTATTGTGTTAATAGGGCGACAGTTGTTTAAGTTTTACCAATTTTTATAGTCAAATTCTGCTGTGAATACTAGTAAATGTTATACATTTATTGCTTTGAGGAATAAAAAAAGTAATTTCAATTGATTATATGGTATTATTTGCAATTGTTCTCGATAGCTATTCTTCGAAGGCCGCGTAAGTAATTTTATTTCTTTTGATTTATAATGAAAAGGGGTAAGAAAAAATAGTCAGAATAAAAAAACAAGAGACATGTCACCATTCTCAATATATACTTTGATAATGACATTTGTTTTTTAGGGAAAAAAATATATATATGAGTACGCCATCTTGACTATTGTAAATCGTTGGTATCTTCAACGTTTCATTAAATAAATATATATATATATGCATTAGACGATTCTTTCTAAAAGTCATAGTCTTATCTCTTTTTCTTCGTCAGCCCTTTCGCGTTTACTATTTTTTTTTTTTGGTTCAAATTACACATTCGTTCTTATATCTTTGTTTGTTCTCTATGTTCAGTTTGTTAGTTGTTTAAACAATGTGAAGGCAAAATTAACATAACAATTTTCTCATTCGCAAATATATGGTGTTTTTCTAGACGAACAGAAACGAGAAAAATAACATGACTTCTTCTTCTTTTTTTTTTTCTTCTTTCAACATTCCTTATTAAAAAAAAAAAGGAAAAAGTAAGAGAGCATAGCAGAAGATGGGATAAAAGAAAAGATAAGTATTTATTATAGTTATTGTTATTCATTTTCAGCACATTTCTTTTTTCTCACTTTAGATGATTCATCATGGAATTAGTAGAATTTTTTTTCTTATTTCTTAAGATTTTATGGCTTTCAATCTTAATACAAGTTACAATTATTCTTTTTGCTTAAGTCGAAAACGATGTTTTTTAATGCTTTTATTATTTAATTCTACTATTGCTTATATTTATTATATATATGACCACAATCAATCTCAACAAATAGAAAATATTCCAATAAATTCACAACATGTTCATATTAATATTAAACAAAAACAATATCCAATAAAAACCACTAAAGCTATTGACTTTATTCGAAATGTACTCAAAAATGAATATGATCATGATGATTTAAAAATTTTTTATAATTTTGTTCAAAAAGAATTTTCATTAGGTTTACGATGTACAAGAAAAATAGATCAACCTGAAACCACAATTAAATACAATTATACCATTGATAAACAAATCAATGATAATATTACTACGATTAGGTATAGAGGAAAAATAATTTTTTTTTTTTATAAAACATGATCTAAAAGAAATGTTAAAGTATAAGAATGAAAATTTGAAACCCTTTGAATCACAAATTTATTCATCAAGAATGTCTTGTTGTAATATGTGAACTAGTTTCTTATTACATTTATGAAAGGCAAAGTAGAAATATGATGAGTAAATGTATTCCAAAATATATAGAATAGAACAATCTTTCTGTCATTAGCAAGAGCAGTTATATCGTATTTCACACATTTTTTAATCCTGACGGGATTGCGCTAACAACTATTTTTTTTTCTTGTTGTTTTTTTTAATAGTAAGAACTGATCAAAAAGAGATCAGATTTTTATATTTATGTCATAAAAAATTTATCACTGATTAAGAATTTCTAAATCGTTTTAGACATTCGATTAGTTTTCATAGAATGAAAACACATTATTACCGATAAATCCAACAGAAAATAAGTATTTTATTAACTATTTTAAATCAACAATAGAAAAAAAAACATTCATATATCATTAAATTTTTTTTTGTCATTCAAATTTATATTATATTATTAAAAGTCATCTTTAATTGTTTAAGAGAATAGAATAACATCATTCTGATAGTTTTTATTTTACTCTAAAGAAAAGACTAAATTCTTCATAGTTATTATTTTTCTTTGATACTCTTCCCTATTATTTTAACTTCTCAATCATTTCTTACATATAATTAGAGATGTAACAATATCGTTTTTGGTATTATTGCATCCCTACATTTAACTCTATGTATTTATATATTATAGAAGAATAGCATTAAACAAATATTATCATTTGATTTATTCGATCAAATATTTGATATATATATATATATATATGATATCCGAAACGATAGTTATGACTGTTTGTATTTTTGGCCGTAATTTTGTCTTATGATGAATTATGGTACGACAGTAGGAACATTGTATTTGCGTAGTATATAATCATATATATATATATATCATATTCGCATTAAAATCGGTCGTAAAACATTGATCTGGTTTCTGATCGTGTTATTTAACCAAAGTAGATTTATGTTGTGTAAACTGAAAATAAATATTTACTTTATTAGTTGAATAAAGAAAAATTTTGAAAAGAGAAGATATTATTCTATAAAATTCGACTGAGAGAAAATTATATAGAAATGATTTCTCATCCTCATTTATGATATTTCAGCGAATTTTTTCATTTGATTATAATATAAATTATGCTTATAGAATTAGAAAGAATATTGATTTATCGCTTTATTGACTATGTAAAAAAACAAAATGTGGAAATATCACATTTCAATCGAGTATTATTTGATAAACTTTTTCAATCTGTTAATCAATTCTAATAAAACTCTAATTTTTTCATGATTTTTCATATTTCAAAACTCTAAAATTACTACTCAAGTATAAGAAGATCAGTAAAATACTATGAAGTATTTAAAATTGATATGTCATAATCAATTATATTAGTAATCGATTAATCTTGAAAAGTAATGAGTTTTTCTTACTGCTTTAAGAAAAACAAGACTAGAATTGATTTTCCACAATATGAATCGCTGACAAATGAACCTTTTGATTGTCATTGATTTCCAAAGTACATATTGAAAGAACAAAAAAAAAAAGAATGATAGAACATAGACAGACAATTTACGCTTGATTTCACAATAGAATAGATCGAAAAGTGGAAGAATTATTAAAAATTATTCTTTAAGTTCAAATGCCTTGATCTTTTAATGTTACAAAATATGATTTTAATATTTTTTGTTTTAAAGAAGTATTTATCTATGAAAACAATTTTAAAGAAATATCGAAAATTCAAAGTAGAGTTATTCTGATAATATAGCGTAGATGAAAAAATATTTTTCCTCATAAATATACTAAATAAAAGCTCATCAAAACCGGGATTTAGGAGTATACTTGACCATTCATAAGATGAGAATCAGCTATAGATTTACGGAAAGTTTTTAAGATTTTTAGTATGTTAACGTTAGCATCGTTATTTATTGATCAAATTAAAAAAAAAATTTTTTTGAATCAAAATGATCAGCGAAGAACAATTTACGGCGTTCAATCAACAACAAAAAAAAAATATTCCGACAACCTCATTTGTTTTATTGTTACACTACCTATGGAAGTATCTAATAATACGTCTTAAACTTTCAAAATCTTTCATAATTCTATAGCCTATTCTAATCTAACAAACGGTCAAAAATAATAAATCCTACAGGCTGTCATTTGATATCAATTTCATTTTCATGTCTCTTACAATTTGAGCCATATCGACCTGAAAAAAAAAATATTTATCCATCCTGCATAAATATCATCCAATTTATACGAGTATTATTAAATAAAAATCAGAGTGGGGTTGATGTTTTACTTTAGACTATTTTCTTTCACAGACAAATATATTATTAGATGTTAGTTTCAAATTTCATAACATCATGTACGTGTATCCAGACGCAATTGATTTTATTAATCTCCTTCTCCAGAATAGAAGACCGGCGACAAGAAAATTTTCATTAAGGCATAATAAAAGGTCATAGCTTTGTATTCTGAGGGAATGCAATACAATTTTTGCAAGTTTCAAATAAACATTAATAGAAAAGAACTCTAAGTATGATAGTAATTTAGTAAATTATTGGTAGTAATTTGTTGTAGAAATATGAATAGACTTTGTATTAGTTCTATAAATAAAATAAACGATATATTGTTATGTTGACATGTCATTATTGATAATATACATTTTGTAATCGAAATATCTACAACAATTTTTATTTATTTATATACGAAGATAAATCTCGAATTTCTCATTGCTTATAACATCATAGGACTATTATAATAGATATAACAGAATAAATTGTAGTCTCAGTATTTTTACTCAAAAGTCTTGTAGGTTTCATCCGATTAAAATAAATATTTTGTTAATAGCTTTACTATTCAATTCTAAAGCTTTTCTAGAAAAATTAATTTTCTGTTATTTCTCAAAGATTTAAATAAACAAAAATAGAAACCTTTCGCAGTCATCAAGAAGTTCTTTTAATTGATGATCTATTTTGAATTTTCTAGAATTTAAAATGTTTGAAATATTTATGTTATAAGATTAATTGATTTAGATCATTATCTACAACAATACCTTCACAAATCGATCAATCACATATTTTTTTATCTCGTCGTAATCCACGTATGACTCTTCATTCATTTTCAATAGATAATTCTGATGCATGTTTAAATGAATCTATTGATTTACTTATAATAATTATATCGAAATCAGATAATTATAAAACTCGTGATGCTATTCGTCGAACATGGGGATCAGGTGAAAATCTTGGTAATTATTCATTAATAAATATAAAATTATTTTTTCTTATTGATTTCGATGAAAAATTAAGTTCAAATATACGTCTTGAAAATAATCTATTTCATGATATAATACAAGTTGAATTACCACCACAATATACATTAGTTACATATCGTGTTTTATCTATATTTGAATGGTCATTTCGTTATTGTCGTCGAGCAAAATTTTTATTTAAAACTGATGATGATATATTTATTAATTTAATTTTACTTTTAAAATTTATTTCACCATTACTTGAACAAAATGTAAATAATTCATTTCGTATATCGGATATGGATATATATGGTTATAAACATTATCATCCAGGAGTTTTTCGTCAATCAAATGATCATGTTGGAGCTCGTTATGTTGTTACTACGGATGAATTTCCATGTACACATTATCCGGATTTTTTATCGGGTTTTGGTTATTTAATACCGAAAAAAGCACGCGATGCTCTAATCTATGCATCTTATCAAGATCCAAATAGACCATTTAGAATTTCCGATGTTTATTTAACGTAAGATTTTTTATGATATGAATTCTCGAGCAAAATAAATGAATAGCTTTTTCTTTTTTGTTTTAGAGGCATTCTACCAGATTATTTATCTCTACGACGTCAACCAATGTCCGATTATACAATTCGTTATCAAGGTAGTTGTGAAAATTTCTTTGAAAATCCAAAATCATTTGCTTGCGCTGCTGGTTTACATCATGGAGATACTAGTGATGTTTTTAGTACATTTAATCGTTATTGGCAATCTGTAAAAAAATCTCTTTAGTGCTATGTTTATATTTAATTGTTATTTTAAATAGTTTTGTTTTTTTTGTTAAATTATTCTCCTTTTTGTTTTTATTATAATGAAGAAAAAAAGAAAAAAAAATAATAATAATAATAGAAAGAGAAGAAAAAGACAAAAATTATTTAATCAAATAATTTCAAGGTTAGTCTAATACTTTATTTATTCGACTAGACTAATATTCATTGTATTTGTTGTTATCGTGGTAATAAGGCTTCAACAATTTACACACGCACACATCAAAGAACACGTTTTTTTCTTTTTTTTTTCTTTGTAAATAAAGAGAAAGAGCAAAGGAAGGTCAGGCATAAAATTTGCTAAATAGGAGAAAAACACGGACAAATTAATAAATCAAGAACATAGGTTGAGCGGCAAAGGTATTCAAAAAAAAAATACAAATAGAAGAAAATTAATAAACAATCATGCTCATTGTATATATTGTTGTTATGAAAATAAAAATTTCTATTGTTTTATTTTGTCTAATTTTCATGCTTGGTCAGCATGTAAACTATATGCAGCTGTTATTTCTCCTTTATCATTTGATACTGTAACATGATATTGACCTTGATCTGTTGCCAAAACAACAGGAATTTCAAGTGAAAATTCTTTTTCATCATCTGTAAATACAAATCGACTTGATTCACGATCCAATGGTTTACCATTAAAATTCCATTCAGCTATTAAATACGAAAAGAAAATAAAATAGATATTTTTTTCAATACTTCAACTGTAGTCCACTATTTGAACTCATATTACGCACATAACAGAGTCGTTGTAAGATTAGAAAAAGCCTAAAAGGATCTGTTCCTTTGAAGTCAAGTTGATAATAAGCTTTTGACCCACAAATGAAAGATTTGTAGGTTAGTAGACCTTCGCTTTGAGTACAGTCGGATGCAATGGAAGTGACCTCCCTTATTAACCTCTCAGCAATACGTAATCGAACGTGATAATATATACATCATTAGAGAGACGTTCTGACGGCAAAAATCACCCAAAAATTTATATTTCCCGTTTAGCTGAAAAGAATGTTGCTTTCTGGAAAAATTAAATTTTCACGAAGATAATGGTAGATTTAGATAAGGGAATACAGAGAATGATCGACCCTCTTTTTTTGATTTTTCTCAGCAGAAGATGAGCCTATAAAGTCTCTAATGGACTTCAAAACACGTTTTATGACTATGATCGCCTTACTCTCTTTGCCAAAATCTTTGGTGCAAAAGAAACTCAATTTTTATGACATGTCTATAGCAACCGACTTCTTTTTTAGGTTATTCTAAAAGTCATTAGAACTATATTATGGACAACGATCTTAACTTGGCTGTAAAAGTCCACGGGAAGCGAACCGTTTTAAGCTTTTTCTAGTCTTATAGATACTTTCATGTGAGTAGAGTTGGGCAACTCTGAATTGAAGTTGTCCATTTCTACTTATGGATTCAATATGAGCGTAAATAGTGCTTTACATTTTTAATAGTTTCCTCATTAGATTTATTATTTACCTGTCATTGGTGTTGATCCGGAAAGTTTACAATTAAATTTAGCTTTACCACCTTCTTCTAAAGTAATACTTTGTGGAAATTGAACAAAGTTAGGATCAAGTGGTTCTTCATCGCGTGCTTAAAGAAATAATAAAAAACAAAAACAAAAAAGTAAGATTAGATGTATTAAATATTTTGTTTATTTTTGAAATATTTATTTACCTTGAATAATAACTGAACAACAAGCAAGTTGTTGATCATTCGTTGATTTATTTTTTAATAAAGCTGAAAATACGCCTGAATCTTCAGGAAATCTATTCAAATAGAATATAAAGATCTTAATTAATCATATATATATATTTATTTACACTTCAGCAACAACTAATTTGAATATATTTCCTGTTCGTTCACGACGAAAATCTGGATTGTCCGGGATTTCTTTATTATTTCGTAACCATAATAATTCAAGGTCATCATCAACTCCTAAATCCATACATAAAAAATAAAAATCATGATAAACGAATAACAAACTAAATTCTAACCTTGACCAGTACATTCAAGTGTAAGTGAATCACCTTCCATTAAATTTTGTGATTTAATATATTTAACAAATTTTGATTTTGTTTCAGCTGGTTTTTCTTGTATTTCATTTTCTTCTTTTTTCTTTTCAACATCAGCTGGTGGTGCTGCTACTTCTTCAACAGAAGCAGGAGCAGCTGGTGATGATGTTACTTCTTCAGAAGCAGCTGAAGATTTAACTTCTTCTGCCTATATTATACATTGAATTAAATAAGTAAAAATTTTTTTTTTTTATCAAAATAATTTTTATTAATCAAACCTTTTTCTTCTCATCTACAGCTGATTTTTTTGCTGGTTCTTTCTTTTCTTCTGGTTTCTTAGCTGGTTCTTTCTTTTCTTCTGGTTTCTTAGCTGGTTCTTTCTTTTCTTC